GGTGGTAGAAACGGCGGAAACGAGACAGAGGGACACGACGAGATGAGAGACGCGTACAGTCGCCTCTTCGTTGAGTGTCCATGCATGCCTGCTTGCTTGCTTTATGAATTCCCGCGACATTTACATCTAATCATATCGCTGGTAATCCGAGACTGTACCGTCTGATGATGGTGATAAGATTAGAAGATGCGTCTTCTAGAACGCCATAAATAAAAATGTGTCACGCGCACAATCTGGAAGGACGTAACACAAACCTTAGATACTTTCCGGAAAGTCTACGTTTTAATATTTTACAGTTTTAAAATTCTCTGTTAGTTGCAATCCTCTTCGATCGCATCTATGTCGAATTACAATCGAAGATTGCAGGGAGCGAATGGCGATATAACATCTGCTAATGTTACAATTTGCGAGCTCAAAGAAATCGAGAGAAAATATACCACGAGTGTGACAATTAGCGATTACATACTAAATGTCACTGGGTAAATCCGAGATGCCGTATGTACGTCAACGGCAACCGGCCGCTGAAGATGTTGGGAGAGCGAGAGAGATTCTGAATACGGGCCAAAGTCAACTAAATATACCAATCCATTTGGCCGCATAATGGCGCCTGGCGTGTTTGGAGAACGCTTTTGCTAGCTCGCGCGAAACAAGTTAGTCCACAAAGAGGCGCAGATTTGTTTCTGCGCTCCGGAGTTAAAAGCGCAGCCTTTCCGCCTTTGTTTATTCAGGCTGTTTACCGCATGTGCTAAACGCAGATCGTTGACATCCGATCCCATGGCGCTGTAATCAGAACGATCCCAATCGGAAAAACAACGCTTCCGGTGAATTATACTCGCGATTAATCAAACTGTTCCCGTCTACTATCGTGCCCTCACAGTGACTAATTTTATACAGACAAAGTGAAAATAAACTTTATATCTTGAACGCTTACACGCGTACATACGATACGTGTTGTTAACGTATTGTACACGTATAATTACCCATTGGCACTCGTTTTACTAGCATCAATTGGAAAATATATAATATATATGGTATTCGTTTTCGTCGAGAAAATTAAACAATTATACAGGAAATTCGCGAATCGTGGTAAAAATAATTTCTGGCGACTTCTCGATCGAGAAACATCGAGGAGAGAGAGAGAGAGAGAGAGAGAGAGAGAGAGAGAGAGAGAGAGAGAGAGAGAGAGAGAGAGAGAGTTTACCATCGATTTAACCTCCTGCAACCTGCTTTTCTTCTCTCCCTCTTTCGCATGCAATAACACGACTATACGAATCTTCCACGCGGAAGATCGAATCGGACCCGTCCCGATTTTTCTTCCTCCTTTAGTGGCGGTGACAATTCGATTCATCCTGTAGTCGCGGCGAAAAAGTGTCAGACAAGAGTGGAGCTCTCCCTCTCGCGTAACGTCGTAACAAGTTCAACTCATCGTCAACGTCAGAAAGAGGGTCGCATCGCTTGCGAATTCATGTTTGAAAAAAACGACGCACTGCTCGTTTTTCCTTCGAATGACACTATATCTCGTGATTTAACGAATCTATATTTAATTTAAAGTAATTGTATCGAATGAATCGATTGTATCGATGTTGTCGTTAGTGTTATCAAGTATCGTTTATAAATTGATACGCTATATATGCAAATGGAAAGAAACTCTGTTATTTCTTATATGGAGCATATGCGTAGAGAAGGCACATTTCTTCAGGGTGTCTCTAAGTGCATTTTTATTCACCTCCACCATTTTTTTGGAGTCGTAACTGAAATTGATCCGATCTAGCGTCAAGGTGTGCACATTTCCTCGTTCTAAAGTGGTACACGAAAATATGCATGAATTATTCGAGATACGTTAATCCGGTTGGCTTCCAAAGGAGCTGTCGCCACTGCCGCTGCACCGTTCTCCTCCTTGCTTCTTTTCCATGTAGACCAACCCCTATTCCCTTTCCTCACCTCGTCCTCTCTCGCAGACTCCAGACGAGACGAGGTCGAAACCAGGGTAGAAGGGTGAAGACTGACGAGGGTTGGACCGAGGTGAAGTAGCGACCAGGGTGAGAGAGGGACGATCGCGGGGGAGTGTAGGGTTGGAGGAAAGTTAGAAGGGGTAGAGAAGAAGGAAGACAAGGATGAGGAATAACGGCGGAAAGAAGAGGGCGGAGAACGCGACGGAGGAGAAGGAGTGAGGAGAGGGGACGCGGTGAATGGAGCCGTGGCACACGGAGGCGGTGGTGGCCAACCCCAAGCTGAGGTTGCCGGGGCAACGCGGGAGGCGTAGGCGCTCTGGGGATAGGGAGGAAGGGTTTCCCTCGCTCGTTCGACCAGGATTGCTGCGGGGATCGCGGGGGCGATCAGAGGTTGGATTCTGACGCGGGAACGCTACGACATTGGGGTGGCGATACCGTCGAGCGGTGGTAGGGTTTGGTTTGGTACGGGAATGGGAGGGCTGGCTTCGACGACCGACGACCGACAACCGACGACCGATGATCGGCGACCGACGACCGACGTCCAAGTACGACCGGTGATAGCCAGAGAGAGAGGGTGATTTTACCTTCGCACATCTTTCCCTATATTTATTCCTAAACAGATCGTGTTTACCGCGAATGGGCTGAGGAATTCTTCGTCAAATATTCGTAATTCAATCACATTTTAGATTATAAAAAAGAGAACATTAACACATCGGATAATCAAGTAACTGTGATCCTGTGTGAAAGTTTCACGTTTCACGATTTGGAGTATTCAATGCTAATAATTTGAAGGGGGGGGGAAAAAAAAGATTTCTCTTAAATTGTAGTAATTTTATATTACACAGAGAGATAAGAATCATTTACACTGGAAAAGCACGTATCTATTCGAAAAATTTACATAGATAGAAATATTTGATTCTTTTTAAAAATTGTTGAAGATGTCATTAATGTATCTTGATTATCGATATAGCGACAACACGCTGTACATGTGCTCGTTCGTTGAACGAATAAATTAAATACTACATACAATTACTTATAAAAACATTTGATAGATTGACGCAATAAGCGAAGCCGTGCGTGCGTAATTAAACGAGACACTGGAATTATCTAGTCAACATGATTCGGGGAACATGACAGCATTGATATACATAATCGTTAC